CTTTACATGAGTGACGTCGAGCTGACCACGTCCCCTAGCCACCACCCCACCCCCGGCGGTCAAACACAACCCTGATGCGTCCCTGAATGAAATCGATTTTGACACCTCTGACTTAAGAGAACTGGGCAGAGAAGAATAAGAAGAACCTCAAGATTCCTTCCAATATGATGTTCCTCTGATCAATAAGTAACCTTGAAGTAAGAATAAAAGCTCAGTTGAGAAAGAGTCCTGGGTAGAATCTACCAATTTTTCCATGTATTTACTTTGGAATCACAAGAAAAAAACAACAAAAGGAAAACAGAATGTCTCCCTCAACCTTGAACATGCTTTGTCAGAGTTTGGACAATAAAAAAGACTTTCCACACTTAACTGAATCCAATTGAAAAGGGATCCTTACCCAGAGCAGCCACATTCCTAGAATTCTCCAGCATGACTTCTCCATATAAAACTCTCTGGCTGGGATCTAGCAGCTCCCACTCGTCCTCCGTGAAATACACAGCCACCTCCTCAAAGGACACCAAGCCCTGGAATTCGAAGGATATATGGTCCTCAGCAGAAGTGCCAGAAACCTCACTTCCACATTTCCAATATCCTAAAAATGAGTTTCATGAGAGAGAAAATGCTCCTTTTCTGACATAATGTACTGCTAGGTTTAATAGCTCTCTCTCTGGCCAGCTTCCTGTCTCATTAGAATTTCTTCCTTCTGCAATTCATCTCAGGTAAACCAGTTTGTCGCATCTATTTTTTGTGTCAAAACTTCCATTTTTTTAAAGAAAAGATGCCATTTTGATGTAAAAAAGTCCATACCTCACATATATAGAACCTTTAACTGGGATCGGCTTCAACATGTGCCATAATGTGCTCTGATTTGTTTTAACTGGTTTGAGTTGGCCTATTAATGTTTTAATGGACGTTAACAAATTGGGGACAGAAATTTGAGAACATTTCTCAGGTGTGTCACGGCCTAGTTCTCATCACGATAAAGGGAGGGAGGAGGCAGGTGCTCTCAGACTTCCAAGATTCTGTTACTATAACCTTACAGAGAAAGTATTATTACCTTCCATAACTTTGGTTTTAAATTTGGTCTACCAGCTCTTCAGTAAGTTATGCTTAAGCAATCACCTTGAACTATGAATGAAGCCAAATTTTGATCTCAATCTCCTTTGTGCTCATTGTTTGGAATGTAAGTCACCTAACAGATATTTGGATTGGAAATATATAAACTAGGATAGACATTTTAATACTGTACCTTTAAGAGAATCCTAAAACTGTAATTGGGTGTGGTTTCTCAAACGGCCATAAGATGGAGCCAGAAACCTGGGTTGTTTTGGAGTCTCAGAAGAGAGTGTGGGTGAGTCTCTGTTTCCTTCTGTTGGAGAGTATTGCTGTTCCTCCTAATTGACTGTTATTCTTGGATTTGATGTAAGTCTGTTACTGAACTGTTTTTGATACTGGACTTTGATATTTGGATTATACCTGAACTGAACACTGACTGCCTTACCTGTGAATGACTTGGACTGCTTGTTTGAACTTTGCTTAAATGTTTATTGGAAGTAAAAGCCTACATTTACTGTACAGTGTATCTGTGTGCTGTGTGTGTATTATTCAACACTTCTCTCACTACGTCTCCCTGTATACACTCATTCTCCCAACAGGGATTTACCTCAATGCTCATGACACAAATGCCCCCCTCCCACAGATGTTCCTGCCCTAATGAGGCTCCTCACCTGAGATGTTTCAGCTCCACCCGACAGAGAAGATGTTTCAGTGGTTTCCATCCACAGTCTTGGCTTCCCTGAGATCAGGATAAAAGGAGACGGATAAAGAATAACAACATCAATAGCACTTAAGCAATAGCAGTTATATACTGTTATAGCTGTTATATACTGCTTCACAGTGCTTTTACAGCCTTCTCTAAGCGGTTTAGAGAGTCAGCCTCTTGCCCCCAACAATCAGCAGTCAGCAAGGGTTGTTAAAAACAGATCATGCCAAACCAATCTTATTTCATTCTTCAACACAGTGACTAAATTAGTAGACCAGCAAAATACTGTGGACATATGTTTAGATTTCAGCAAGGCATTCGACAAAGTAGATCACAACCTACTTCTTAGTAAGCTAGAAAAATGTGGAATAGATAGCACGACCACAAGATGGACTTGCAACTGGCTGGCAAACTATACTCAACAAGTAGTCCTTAATGGGTCTAAATCTACATGGAGGGAAGTAAGCAGTGGGGTGCCACAAGGTTCCGTCTTAGGCCCAGTACTCTTCAATATCTTCATTAACGACTTAGATGAGGGAATAGAAGGGGAACTTACCAAATTTGCAGATGATACTAAGCTGGCAGGAATAGCTAACACCCAAGAAGATAGGCTTAAGATCCAGATGGATCTTGACAGACTAGAACATTGGGCCATATCTAACAAAATGAAATTCAATGTAGAGAAAAGTAAAGCCCTACACGGGCAAGAAAAACCAAGTCACATATAGACTGGGTGAAACCAGGCTCAATAGCAGTAACTGTGAGAGAGATCTTGGAGTCTTAGTGGACAACCAGCTAAATATGAGCCAGCAGTGTGCAGCAGCAACCAAAAAAGCTAATGCAATCCTAAGTTGCATTAACAGAGGAATACAATCAAGATCAACTGAGGTACTAATACCATTCTATAAAGCCTTAGTAAGACCACACCTAGAGTACTGCATCCAGTTTTGTTCACCACATTATAAAAAAGATGTTGAGACTCTAGAAAAAGTACAGAGAAGAGCAACCAGGATGATTAGGGGACTGGAGGCTAAAACATACAATGAACGAAAACATACAGGAACTGGGCTTGGCTAGTCTAGTAAAGAGAAGGACCGGGGGAGACATGATAGCGGTCTTCCAATATTTGAGGGGCTACCACAGAGAGGGAGGGAGTCAAGCTATTTTCTAAAGTGCCTGTAGGCCGGATAAGGAATAATGGATGGAAGCTGAACAAGGAGAGATTCAACCTGGAAATAAGGAGAAACTTTCTGACAGTGAGAACAATCAATCAATGGAACAGCGTGCCCTCGGAAGTTGTGGGAGCTTCATCACTTGAGACTTTCAAGAAAAGATTGGACTGCCATTTGTCAGAAATGGTGTAGGGTCTTCCACTTGGGTGCGGGGTTGGACTAGATGACTGACAAGGTCCCTTCCAACTCTGATTATCTGTTATCTGCTTACAACCATCAAAGCATCCCCATGGTTGTGTGTTATCAGTTCAGATACTTGGCAAATCAACAAGTAGTTACGTTAGTTGCAGTTTCCAGGGGTCACGTGATCACCATTTGCAATCTTCCCAGTTGGGTTCTGACAAACAAAGTCAATCGAGGAAGCCAGATGTACTTAATGACTGCGTGCTTCGCTTAACCACGTGGCAAAAAAGTCATAAAATGAGGCATGACACTTAAAAAAAAAACTTGCTGAGAAATTCTGATCCCATTCGTGGCTGTAAATTGAAGATTAACAGTATGTGCCTAGATGTAATCTGGGTCCTCATTTTACCAACCTTGGAAGGATGGAAGGCTTAGTCAGCCATGAGCTGATCAGGATCGAACTCCTGGCAGTGGGCAGAGTTAGACTGCAATACTCCATTTTAACTACTGTACCACCATGGCTCCTTTTTTGGAATATTTGGATGCTGGCTGAGACATGCTATAAATTAAAGCCGAAATGATGTGTAGAAGAGACAGAAGAATGAAATGACTCCAGGATCATTTACCAGGCAACAAGATCCGATTTGGATCCTCCTCTGAGAAGCCCAACAGCTGCTCCATAGAGAGACCAGAGAGGTCTTCTCCACCTTCAGGAGGTACGGTGTCCATCTTCATTGGCTGGCCCTGCAATTTAAAACATAGCCAGGGTCAAAGTTAAAACAAATATTGGAACAAGTGGATTCTCCTCTGCCTCCAAAACTGTACAATATCCCTTGGTGGAGATTTTCCTGGGATTCCCTCTTCCTCCCGTGGAATAATGTGGAGAGGAAAACAGAATTCTGGGACCGGAAATGGAGGGAAACCAAAGTCTCTACAACTTGCATTTTTGTCTCCAAAGCTGGACTGTATTGTAACCAGAGTTGGAGATGCAAATTCCCCTTTTCCTCCCATGGAATAATCTGGATGGGGAACCAGAACTCTGGGACTGAAACTGGAGGGAAACCAGAGCATCTTCTATTGATACGACCTGCCTTTGAGCAGCGCAAGGGAACTGGGTCTTCCTCCCAGGAGGGGAGACCCTCACCTTCCGTTGTAACTTCGAACTGTCACGAAATGGTTGTAAATTGAGGACTATCTGTAATCTGGGGAGGGAACACAGATTCTGGGAGCGAAAATGGGGTGGAAACCAGAGCATCTTCTATTGACAGGACCTGCATCTGAGCCGGGCAAGGGAACTGTGTCTTCCTCCCAGGAGGGGATAGACCCTCACCTGCAGCTGTATCTTCGGTCACTAAATGAACTGTTGTAAGCCGAGGGCTACCTGTAATGGTACCTGGGGGGCAGGGGGAGAGAACCTTGGGACTAAAAATGGAGGGAAACCAGGGCATCTTCTATTGATAGGACCTGCATCTGAGCCGGGCAAGGGAACTGGGTCTTCCTCCCAGGAGGGGAGAGACCCTCACCTGCCTCCCCTCCTCGGAGGGCTGAACGGGAAGCTTCCGGCCACGGCCGCCGCCGCCCGGACCTTCCCGCAGCCCGCCATCTCCGAGAGCAGCCCGGCCGGGACCCGCTTCAGGATCGCCCCCTCCCCCCACCGCTCCTCCTCCACCCCCGGGAGCTCGGCTGCTCTTCCTCTTCCTCCTCTCGGGGCTTCAGCCTGCCGGGAGCGAAGCCGCTGCAGACAGCCCTGGTCCCCGCCGAAGCCCGGCAGCCCAAAGCGGTGGAAGCGCTTGGCCTCTGAGCCCGGCGGTTCCTCGGGGAGCCTCTCCCGCCCCCCTCCTCCTCCTCGGGCTCAGCGGCAGGAAGGACCCCTCCCAACCCACCTTCTCCTCCACCTCCTCCGCCAGGCCATCGGAGCCCCCACCGCGCCTCTAGCCCGCTCTTCTCCTCTCCTGCCCGCCCGCTTTGCCCCGGATTCCCCTTCCTCTCCTTCCCGGGAAAAGCGGGTCTGGCGTGGACAGAAACCTATTATTTTTCACCGGAGCGGCCATTCACTCCCAGCCCCCTCCCCTCGGGAAAGGCGAGCGAGATCCTCTTCCTAGAGAGGCTAAGCTTCCTCCCCCCTCCCCCCCTTTTAAAATGTCTCCCGCGTCCATCCCAATACAGGCAGTCCTCGACTTCCGACAGTTCATTTGGTGACCGTCCAAAGTTAAAGAAAGTGACTTAGGACCATTGCTCACCCTTACAACCTAGACGCTTGGCAACTGACTCACCTTTACGACGGTCGCGGCGTCCTGGGGTCCTCATGGGATTCTCTTTTTGCGACCTGAGAAGGGAAAAAAAATCCATGGAGGGATGCTAGATTCATTGAAAAACCGGGTTACTGATTTAACATGTCCGCCGATTCACTTAACGGCGGTGGCAAGGGAGGTCGTTCAAATGGGGGCAAAAGCCTCTTAGCAAACCTCTCACTTAGCGACATCAATTCTGCGCCCAATTGTGGCCGTGAGTCGTAGGGGCTCCCTGTGTTCTTAAAACCATGGCAGGGCGCTCTCACAGGCGGTTGGAAGGGGATTCTTGTGGACTCAACGGAGGATTTTGTCTTGCAATCAGACTAAAACGGGTACCCCAATCCCTGATCCGTGGACCGGCACTGGGCTGTGGCATAGCAGAAACTGGGCTGTACAAAAAAGAGACGCCCCATCCACGGGATGCAGGCAGCATGGAAAACTACGTCCCCTCTGATCCGCAAAAAACCCTCCCTCTTTCCATGGTTCCTGGTACCCAAAAGTTTTGGGGGGCCTCTAGAGGATCAAGGATGCTCTGAACTTTAGGAGTCCATGATGGAGGAATTCTTGCTATGAATATCTTATGCTAAGTAGTAGTAATAGCATTTAGACTTATATACCGCTTCACGGGGCTTTTACAGCCCTCTCTAAGCAGTTTACAGAGTCAGTATATTGCCCCCAACAATCTGGGTCCCCATTTTACCCACCTTGGAAGGATGGATGGATGAGTCAACCTTATGCCTGGTGAGATTCGAACTGCCAAATTGCAGTCAGCCGGCAGTCAGCAGAAGAAGCCTGCAGTACCTGCATTCTAACCACTGAGCCCTTGCCACAAACTGAGTTACACCCAGTGGAAAAAGGGGTTGCTCATTTTGCCTTGTGTGTTTGGTACCTGTATGGCAAGCTTGTTCTCTTGCACCGGCTCCAATCTGCATCAAAGCGGTTTAGTCAGCCTCTTGCCCCCAAACAATCTGGGCCCTCATTTTACCAACCCTCGGAAAGATGGAAGGCTTGTTCCAATTATTCTGCTCCGCAGAACTAGCAGATCTTGAAATCACTATCTGTTTGTAAACCTGTGCCCCTTTATTCCTGGCTCATACCCAACAAATCTAAGCTTCCTGGCCTTTTGCAGTCCTTTTCTCCTGGTACTTTTCAGAATAAGTACCCAGGCATAACTGCCAGATGTCCTTAAATGAGCTAAAAAGGGTTTCATTCCAAACAACATGAAATAATGGTGTTTCCTATATTGCCACACTCCATATCCTACTAATGATATAATTCAATGTCTTCGTGGCTTTCCCTCAGTATATTTTATTCATGCCTGCATCAGCAAGCAATGCGTCCTTCATGGTCATTAGCACACTATTCAGTCCCTCAGCCATACCATTTTCAGCCGCCGAATATGGATTCGTTCTTCTATGCCTTATGCCTAGACTGCTTAACCACCTTTGGAACTTCTCAGACATAAACTCTGTTCCCCTGTTTGTAACTGGCATACTTTAAACCCATATTGTCGCTCTACAAGTGTTACCCATTGCCTGAACTGTTGAAATACTGCACTTCAGTCTTATTTTTCAGCAAGTAACAATACCCATATCTACTGTAGTCGTCTATTATGACTAAGGCATATCTAGTTCCTCCTAAAGAGGGCGCCATAGGGCCAACCAAATCAGCATGAACTAACTGCAATACTCTGTTATTCTTGCACTTTTCTTACTTACAGGATGCACTTTGGATTTTGACTCCTTACAAACAGCACAATCCAAATATACATTACATTTCTTTAACTTAAGCACCTCAGCTAGGTCTGGCATTCTCCTCAATACATCAAAACCTGCATGCCCCAATATCCTGTCTAACAAATGTTCACAAATGTCGTGTGTGGAAACATTTGTAAGTACATGTCACAACTATTTTCCTGCCTTCCTAGAACGTACAGGCCATCTTACTTAACCCCTCGTGCACGTATCTGTCCATTTTTCCTAATGGTGTACTGCTCCCCCGCAAATAGTATTTCATAACCCTGCCTGTCTAACTTGGATATTGTCAAATGTCCACGTGATGAAACCCATTTAAAAAGAAAAGAGCAAAGTCCATCTTCCAAAACAATTTCTTTTATTTAGGAAAGCATCAAATTGGCAAAAGTCTGTTGTAATTCCGGATCTGACACAACCCGGAATTACACCACATAATGTTGGAAATTAGAAACAGCCCCCCAAAATCACATTCCCCAATAGAAGTAAATCAACATTGCCTGGTGTCATCAATCACCACCAGCAGGTCTCAGCAGGGTCAGCTTTTGTTCCCATGGGAAAGGAGAACCATCTAGCCTAAACAACCCTATCTCTACTCCACTCCTCCCACCTTAGGAATGTGGCAAACCTGAAACCCTTCCCCCGCCCATAACCAGCAAAGAGAAAGAAAAGGAATATATAATAAGGCTAAATAAAATGGCTACGCATATGTCAATTTCAGACTTGACAGATATACTCAACAGATTATGTTCTAATGCAGGTACATATAAGACATTATACAATGTATCACGTATTTCTGGTACATAACATTACCTTCCCCGTTTACAGCAGCTTTGTCCATCAGCCAGACTAACCCACATTGGTTGCAAACGAGAAAATGCTTGTGGATTGATATGCTGGCTCACCCCACTGTCCAACAACTACTTATTCCTGGTGCGTTCAGTCGTTGACACTGACAGGGAAAACGACGTTGGAGAACCACTTCATATGTGCTGAATAGTCCTGCACCTGTCTCTCTGCTCCTCTGTTTCTCCTCTCAAGGCAGCATCTCTGGAGAAAAATTATGCTGGCTAAAGCCTTTTCATTTTTCCTCTGATCCCCATCAACTAGGACCGTCAGTGGATTAGTAACAATCGTCCACAACTCCTCCCTCTGCAGGTACATCTTCATCTTCACATTCCAGGAGAGGTAGTTTGTCTCATTCAGCCAAGACACCAAGAAACTTCCTCCCGTTATGCCAATGGAGGCCCTATTGCCTGCTTTCTTTCACAAGCCAATAACCACAATTTAAACCACTTATTCTGGTGAAAGCTCCCACTAGGTTTCTCTTCTCTTTAGGCTTTCCAGTCATTCTGGCCTTCTCTCTGTTCTGGGCCCATAACCTGTCAGAGTGTTTGCACCGTGACTACCATTATGAGATAACCCAGGAGCAAAACACAACACATAGAGACTTAGACATTTATCAGTGATTTATATACAAGCAATATACAGAAATAAACGTGGTAGGCAAATACTTGATAAGCAATCTTCTTCATTCTGCATGGAGAACTCTAAATGGAGACAGGACACAAGGAGAGAGGGAACACCCTCTAATTGCTACCTTATATAAACACCTCTTAAAGGGGTAGAACCCATCCTCAGTCTTAAAGGGCAGTACCATACTAATGCTGATTCATCCTCATTGCATCAGCCTCACTGCTGGTCGGCTCTTAAATTTCAATACCTTAACAGAACATTATTCTTTTTTCGTTGTATGTGCAACCGAAAAACGAAGAAATAAATTAAAGTTTTAGATCTTGAGGAATTACATTTCAAAAATTCAGTGGCAAAAGAAATAAAATACCAGCAAGTAATAGAATATTTGTAGCTCAGGGTTTAACTGCAGGGTCCTTGGTGCTCTCTGAGCTTGCTTTTCCCCCCCTTGTAGTTGTTTCATTACCATACCAGATAATACCATCAGTGCAATTTGATAATGAAACATGTGCGACAAAACAACTAAGCTCAGAGAGCACCAAGGACTCCCACATACCAGGAACTGCTCAATACAATCATAAGCTAAAAAGCATTTCTGGTTTTCCCTTCTTTTGGCCAAATCCACAGAGCACTAGATATTCCAATAGATCATTTTCTTTTATTAGCCCCTTTTCTGAATATCTTTTGCCAACTGTAAATCATTCAGCCTGAACATTCCCAAGACCATCACTGCAACTCCATGCTATTTTGACAGCATTCCAATTTGGGACTCTTTCAATCTTTTATTTCTTTTATTTATTTCAAGCATTCCTTTTCAAACAGGGATCTCCAACTTTGGCCATTTTTAAGACTTGTGGAGTTCAACTCCCAGAATTCCCCAGCCAGCATGGCTGACTGAGGAATTCTGGGAGTTGAAGTCCGCAGGTTTTAAAGTTGGAGACCCCTGATTTAACGTATTTTCTTAACGTAATTCTATTCCATTGATGGTCCTAAAAAGGTTCTCCAGACATTCCTCGCAAAAGAAAGCGTTTTCTGGAAAATAAGGGCGGAATCCTTTCTGAATCTCTTCTCACACTGTGCATTTTTATGGTTTTCCCACGTGGATTCTTTAGGCCTGATAAGGCTAATCTTCCAACTGAACATAATACCACAGACTATATATTTCTATGGTTTTTCCAGGAGGGTCCTACTTTGGTGGGGGGGGAAACATTTGGAATAAAGCTCCCAAGTTAGGATTGTTCTCTTTTGTGGGTCTGTTCATGATGAGAAAGGTGATTTTTCTGGCTGAAGCTTTTTTCACACGTCGCACATTTGTAGGGTTTCTCTCCCGTGTGAATTCTTTTGTGTTGGATAAGGTTCCCCTTATGAGTGAAACTCTTTCC